GCTCTCCCAGGGCTGCATTCCGACTTTACCTTTTATCCACAGTGTGCTCGATATGTTTCCACACGCTGCCCCAGAAGGGAGGGGAGCTGTGATTCATCAGCTTGTTTGCATCACTGGGGAGCTGTGGCACCGAACATTTCAGCCATTACTGACCAAAGGCCTTTCTGGGCAAAGGCTGCTTGAATGGACTCATCTTGGCAGTTGTTCGACAAAAGGGAAATGCAAACCTCCTCCTCCCCTGGCATTTCCAAACAGAGCCGTTAGAACAGGGAGCAGGGCGGGCATGGGTCTGGAATCATGCCCATCCCGCCAGGAGGGAAGAATGGTGACATTGTCTGAAAGTTCAGTCAGGAGTTCATCTTCTACCTTGTTTTTTAAAAGTCCCTACTTTGGAAAATGCCATTTAAGCTTCCGTTAAACAGCAAACCCCTGGTGTCAGTCACGAGGCTGGGGGAATGAAATATAGCAAAGATTTGTTAGAACTAGTCCAGTTTGTGGTGCAGCCCTTTCCAGAGGGCTCCTGCTCCTCCTTCCTTGCTGCTAAATGGATCCTGGGATTTCTGTTTCAAAATAGACTTAAAACTCCTCCCTTCCCTCCCATCAAAACATTGCTCTGACTTCTCTTTTTGTTGTTGCCGACCCGTGGTTTTAGCTGGCAGGTTCCTTTAAGATGTTTGGAAAAATTCATCCGTTTGGAAAACCAGCACTAAAATGAGGTCAGCTTTATTTGCACTCCCAGGAAAAATCTGGTTGGAGGAAAAGAAGTGGCGAGCATATGATGTACATGAGCGACACTGCCAAAATATCTCACAGGCTTGCCTTTGTAGCAGGCTGTGGGAGTGAGCTCGGGGTGAGTCACACAGACAAGTGGCAAGGGCCCTCTTCAGCTCCCAGATCCGTGAAATTACCTCTTCCCGAATTTAGGCTTAGGCACAACTCAGATGTGCTGCTGGCTAAAGGTGCGGTATCCCCTGCGGACCTGGGGCACGATTAGGTCTGACACTGAGACGTTCCAGGCTGCTTCACTGCAAGGCGAGGAAAGAGTTAAGCTGAGAGAAAGCCCCGGGTACTAAAATTAACATCCATCCCAGCCCCCCGCCCACAGCTTTGAAATTTCTAATCACAACTTGCAGTTAGAGGATTTCTTCTAGCAGTAGGTTTGGATCCTTTGAAATCACAGATGGCTGGCTGGAGCTCTGAGGAATTCAGTCTCCTCCTCTCTTCCTTCTGCTTTGCCTTCCCCCCACCGCCCAGAAAAATCTGTTTGCAGGTCATCTGTAAGATTTTATTATTGCTTGCTTAAACTGAAGCAGTTTTGACTGCTGGTTGCCGACAAAAGTCTGCAGAAATTGGTGGTTGAGCTCTACTGGAATTACCCCTCCTGTCCAGAACACCCACCTGGACTGATGTGCAGAAGAAAGACAGTGGGGTTTGGGCTGTCTCTTGTCCTAGAAATCTTGTTAATGTTTCCAAATTGAGCTGTCTTAAGAAAGCAAACAAACAACCCACCTCCCCCAAGCAAACCGAAACCGACAAAAAACCCAAACCAAAGAGGTTTCTCTTACTGCCCTGGATGTATCGGCACAGCTGAATTGCAGCTGAAGGCAGGAAAATCAGGAACTGTCTTAGGAGCCTGTTCTGCCAGTGAATAATGCGTTCCTGTAACGGCATCCTTTGTCTGCAGGTGGCACTTATTATTGTCAGTGCAAGTGTTCCCAAAGCCTAAAAATAAAAACCCCCTCCTATTTTGCATCATACACAAATGCATCCCCAAAACCATAAAGTGTTTCTGTCCAGGGGACCGTCTGCCCCAATTCCCGCAGAAACTGCTTTTGGAAACCGTAGCCTGCAGCACTTTGCAGCCTAAAATTTCTCCAGGGAAACTGAAAAGTATTTCTTCTAGTAAAGTTAGCTATAAACATGGGCCAAAGAGAGATCTTTATGAGATAGGTTACATTTTATGGACCAAGTTGGGGTATTTTTAATGGATAAGCAGGTGGTTTTTAATGCATCTCACAAGTGAAAACCTCACACCAAAGTTTTGACTCTCAAATTTCAGTGCAAGATCCGACCTGCAGCTCGTGACCTCAAAGGAGACGTCAAAGCCAGTGCCTTGGCTTGGCTCACTTCTCCTTTATTAACTTCCAAACTGCTCTTTAAGGGGTTTCAGCGGAGCCACTTGACCTTCCAGTGAAGATTAAAAAACTGTAGGAACTGTGTGAGCAGTGGTTTAAAAACTCCCTAAGTGACCACAGGGAAAAAAACCCAACCAAACAAAAAGCCATCACCCTGGAGCTAAAGTTTAATTTAAATCAGGGAAACAGAAGCAGAAAGCTGAGGCGAGTTAGTTCATGGTGACTGTCTCAGCCATGGGTCTCAGAAAAACAAGGGAAGTTTTTGGCTGGAACAACCTTCTGCTGTTCTCTGAGAGCTGCTGCCACACTGACGGGGATCTGTGCTGCTGGTGTGGCTTTTCTGCACTGCTCAGGTTTTATCATCCTGACCTGAGCAGAGAGAAGAGACTTGTGTTTTGGGAAGCCTGCGTACATGTGCTGGCGTTTTTTCTAAATGGCATGCGTGTATTTTATGGAGAGCTGTGTAAATGGAGATGCAAACTGGATTCAGCCTGGGGGTGCTTGGCTGCTTGCCTGGCCCTGCTCTCTGTGCTGGAAAACTCTGTGCACCGCTCTTGCTCCAAGGGAAGCTTTCAAGCACGTCATTCCTTTTCTTTTTTCCCCTATAAAGGTTATAAGGCCTCAGCCCTCAACTGAATTACGTCCCTAGTTCAGAAAGGAAAGGTTATTTTCCCCTCTCTTTTCCCCTTGGCAGCTCAAGAGATGCTGGCAGCGCTGCTCACTGGTATGTCAGGGTGCTCCAGGAACACCCCGAGCTCTCTGCTGGGGCCACTGACCGGCCCCAGGCAGCACAGGGACAACCTCCAAAGGGATCAGGATGACTAAAAGTGCTTTTCTGGGCTCAGGCCTCTGAAGCCTGTTTGTGTTGTAAATACAGTGAGAATGTTTGCCAGTCACAGCAGAAAAAAGCAGTGCCTGAGGATGCTCACTTTGGCCTGAAATTTTTCCTGTGTTTTCTCCAATGGTGGCTAATTACTCTCTTCCTGCAAATCCAAGAAAGGACTATCAATATTTTATATTAGGAGACACGGTTGGGCTAAATATAGCTCCTGCATTTTTTGTAATGAGTGTGCAGCCAGGAGCTGCTGGTCTGCTCTCTCTCGGTGCTCAGCACTGGGCCCGGCTTCGGGCTCTGTGCTGGCTTGGCTGAGCTGTGGCTCTGGTCCTGGCCTGCTCCTGACCTGGCCGTGTTTCTCCAGGCACAGATTTCACCTGGTGCAGCTCTCAGCTCTTCTCCGGTGTGTCCTGAGAGGCTGTAGCTGACACCCTGGTGGATGTAACAGCTGGCAACCCGCAGGCTCACTGAGATAATAAATAAACAAATAAATAGGTAAATCACCTGTCTTCTGCCCTGCACAGGCTTGGAGAAACCCCTTTTAGGGGCTCTTGACTTGCAAGGTGGGAGCCCTGTTCAGGAATCCTGGATTCAAGGTGTTCCCTCTAGCTGGAAAACCTTGGGTCGTTCCACTGATAGCTGGAAACCTTGTGCAGGGGAATGCCAACTCAGTACAGCCTCTCCCTTGTTCATGGAGAAGCATTTGTTTTGTAAAAATCTGCTATAAAAGGTGCTTTTGTTCAGGACTGAGGGCCTTGACGTTTATTTGCCACTTAAAATCTGATGGGCTTTAAGTGAGACTGGAGTGTGGTTTTATACCTGTTGCAGGATGTGTGAATGAAGAACAATATTTGTTCTTTATCAGTCTTGAAGGTTTCCCTTAGCTCTGGGAAAACACCTTGAATCTGCATTTGTTCAGAGCTGGCCGTGTTATTATTTATAATATTGGATTGTTTTCCCTGCGGATTTTGTTTATTTTCTCAGAGTCAGCACCTTGCCTTGTTTCCTATAAATACACCCTGAACTCTTGGATCCTCAAAGGAGCCTTGATGAAAGTGCCTGGTTAGCATTTGGCAAATATCCACCTGCTGGGGATTGTACAAGAGCCCATAGAAGGAATTGAAAGTTTCAATAACTTTCCCATGGATTTACCCTTCAGGGCTGAATTGTTTTGCTTAACAGATTTAATGCCGCCAAGAAATTTGTGGCCAGAGCCATGGTAGGCAGTGTTAGTCTGAATAACCTTTGCCATCAGATCATCTGCTCCTTTTGAGAGCAGGTGGTGGATTCTGTTGTCTTTAAAGAAAAAAACAAACATCTTGTCTCTGCTTTGTTTTCAGTTTTTAATTTACAAGGTTCTTGACACACTGTTACCGCTGAGTGAGGCTGCAGTAGGGCAGGGGAACCCCTGATCCTGCTCTGTGTACGGCAAAGTGCTGTGCTTTAAGTCACACCTTTTTTGCCCTTGCTTCTGTTCCTGAGGACTGTGGGCCTCGCACAGAGTGGCTCCATCACTTCCCTGGCTTGTTATCAGTTTGTGCTGTGCAAAGGCCGCCACTGGGCTTGCTGCTTTCTTCCCCCTCCAAAACCCATTCCCTATCTAAAGTCAGAGCTGGGCCCTGAAGTCCTGTGGCTCTCACCTACTTTCAGAGTGGTTAGGCCCGAGAGGAGCCTTGCAGAACTCCCTGGTATTTTGGTGTTGCACAGGAACCAGGTGTTGCTGAAATCCCCTGTGTCCGCTGTGCAGCTCCTCCCTGTCTCACAGATTTGCCATCAGCCTCTCCCCCCTCTCGGTGCTGAGGTGGGAGAGCTCTTGCAGAAAACCTCAACGTGACAGGAATCTGGAGTCCTGTGGGTGATTTTGGCCCAGCTTTGTCCGAATCTGAGCCGGCTGGGTTGGGTTTCCGTGGGCAGGTTTGCCAAGCAGCGATCCCTGTGTCACAGATGAGCCTGTTCTGTTTCCTGCAGCTGCAGTCCCCTTTGTGCTGTCTTTGGCTCAGTGTTTCATCAGGCTGTCTTTGGTTTTGCAGGTAGCTGTATCCAGCTGGGTGGCAGGTGGATCCAAGGGTTACCATGAAGTTTTCAGGACCCCTGGAGAGCCAGAGGTTGTCTCTCCTTCTGGAGACGGCAATCTCTAGGGAAGCTCAAATGTGGAAAGCACATGTGCCGAAAATTCAGCCCAATCAGGTAATGTCTCTTCTTCACATCATTGATCTCAGCAAAGGCAGGAGGCTGTCCTGGGTGTGTTGGTATGGGAACAACTGGAGGTGTTCAGGAGGAGTTACCTGGGGAATTGGCCTCTGAAGGAAGGGATTCCCCCTTTATTTGAGGGGCACACCTGCCCTGGGGGGGTGCAGAACACCTTACACAGCACACAGTGGTACGTGTCTGCTTGTCAAAACACATACAGCCATTGCCTTAATTGTTTTAATTAAAATAATTTTACACCGTGTGTGGTTTATTAGTGCCCATTTCTGCTGGGCACCAACTCTGCAACAGTTCTTAAAAGCAGCTTCATTTCTTGGACTAGTTCATTAGTAACAGTGTTGATCTGACTTGGGAAAGGCACTGCTCCAGGATGAACCCCACTGACTCCAGCAGGACTATTTATGGAGCAGGGTGCAAGTTCGTGTCAAGGGAACCAGAGCCAGGCACTGGCCTGTTCCAGTGAGGAATGTTCTCATGGGACTGGAGGAAAATTCGGAGTGGAAGGGATGGCAGGGGCTCCACAGTTCAACCCCCTGCTCAACTTGTGCAGCGGGGAGGTTGGAGCAGGCTGCTCAGGGCCTCACCCAGACTGAGCTGGGCCTGTGCTCCTTTGGGAGGAGGTGTTTGTCCCACGTGCACCCGGAGGCACCTCTGCACTCCACAGCTCTGTTCAAAACACAGTGTGAAATGTGAGGATGGTTGCCACGGGGTTTCTGCTCCTTTGGTGCTGGGTTGGGCTGAAATAACCACACTGAGGACTCGGACCCCGTCGTGCTGTTGTTACGCCGCATGAAACGCTCGTACAGGTAGGTCAGCTGTTGACAGAGCTAATCCCTGTGCTGTTTGTTTTTTCTGTCTGGCAGACAGGAAACTGCTGCTGTTGGGTAGGAGCAAATACATTTTTAAGGGCCTCAGTATTAGTTTTGTTAATCCACATTGCGGTTTCCAAACGAGTGACACGGTTGTCAGAGGTGCAAAGTGTATGTAGCTGTGGCTGTCTTGGGGCACATACAGTTTAAGACTCTGGCTTATGGTAAACCAGGCTGTCACTCCCTGCTGGCAGTATTCCTGGGGTGATTATAATGTGGGGAGATAAGATTAGAGGATAAGAGAGTGTAACCACACCAGATTCTCAGGGGAAGATTTCACAGGGACAAGGCACTGGCGTTTCTGCCTTGGTGAAGGTGGCTCAGAAACCACCACCTGCTTCAGGCAGACCTCGCAGCAATCCCTCCTCTGTGCTTATCCCCAAGGGTTTCTGCTCCTGGAATTGCCACCACCAAAACTCTCGTCTTGGTGTCACCTTTTTCTTCCTATTTTTCCCTGTGTGAGTTCAGACATGGACATTAGTGCTGTGCTAGTGAATGTTTTCTGGCAGGAAGTAATCACTAAATTGGAGCAAGAGCTCCGTATGTGTGAGGTGTAGGAAGGTCAGTTGAAGAGGAGAGCATAAACACAGCTGCTGCTGGGGGGAATCCAGACTTGTGAGGCCACGGGGCAGCTGAGAACACCGTGTGGAATCACAGGTTTCTCTCTGTTCCTGCGGTTCACAACACCCAGCTTTTCCAACTGTCCCGTGTGCCCCCAGCCTTCATTTTGGCAGTGGTGCTCTGTGCGAATTATTCCATTTGCTGTAAAATCTGGAAGGTGGTCAGATTCCCTAACAGCCACTGCCTTCTGAAAAGAGCTGCAGCAGACTAAAACCTCACTTGCACGACACTTGTTTATTTGCCGTGACTGTCGGGAAACGTGTATCCTTCTGCGGCTCAGATCTGGCACCCCGGAGCGTGTGGAACTTTCCATTCCCTGCTGCGAGGGTGGGCTGACTGCACAAAGGTTTAATGAGCTCACCTGGTTTGCCAGGGATAGACGTGAGTGCGTCTGCAGAAATCTGAACAGCCTGGTTGGAGACATACCAGGGGTACCTTGCAGGAGGAAACTTTCAGTTTAGAGGAGACATTTTTGGTTCTAATGTTTAAAAACGGAACAAATGCAGTTTCTAAATATGTGTCAGTTGAGACCTTTGAAAGGAAGAAACAAACCCCTAGTTACAGAAACAGGAAGACTTTCCATTTTTAGGACAGGGTGCAGAGGCTCTTAGGGACTTTTTTCCTGGTAATTTAATGTATGTGGGTTTTGTGTTTCCTTAGTACTTTTTTCTGAAAACTCCCATCCCCTCCTTTAAATGCAGGCCAGTGCTCCGAGTATGTGCAACATAGCAAAGCCAGATCTCAGATGGGCTGAGTCTGGAACCTCCTCATGCATCTGAATGTATTTGGTCTTTGTCCTCCTTTTTTCACTTCTGGTTTCCCCCGTCACTTGGGTTATACAAGACGCAGGTGACATTCCAAAGTTTTCACAGGATTAAGGCTTGAGAAATCAAGCTGTAAAGCCTGGTCAGAGCTTGATTGTTGCATGTTACCACGTAACTTTGCAGCACAGAGGTGTGTGAGCCAAGAGATTTGGGGCTTTTTTTTTTATAGAAACAGTGTCACTTGTGTCATGCCTGCTTTCTTTCCTATTCTGGCTCCTTCTCCCTGTCTCCCCACTTGTTCTCTGGACCTCTTGAGGAGTCAGAATATCTCAGTTTATTTCCACTCCTAATAAAGGTCACCCGCTCACTCCCCAGGAGGCCACACAGAAACAAACAGGGGAAAGGGCAAAACACCTGTCCGGGACAGCAGACATGAAAGAAAACATTATCAGGTGAGGTGTTTTTCCTAGATGGGGCAGCAATAAAACTGAGTCATGTTCACAGACAATGTTTATTTTAGCCTGCATATTCCAGAAGTCTCAAGGTATTCCTAGAGATGATCTGTGTCTGAGTTGTTTCCTCTGGCCCTCCTGCATGGTGCAGAGGGGACACACACAGAAAGTACCTCTGCACTGGGGAGGAACTCTGGGCTTTCCAACCCAGAGGGACTTCCTCACTTGCAGCCACCGAGTGTCTCGCTGCTGCTTTTAGTTTCAATTAACGAAGGAACAGTGACCTCGCTGCTTAATTAATGTTACTGTGCTGCATTTTCTTACTTGTGTTCTGAGGGTGGCACAGGTACACTGCCAAGGCAGGGGAATAAACCCTGGTACTTGGTGTGGGGAGGCTGCTTGCCCCGCATGAAAGCGGGAGCAGCAGCAGCAATTGTGGGTGCAGGGGGGACCAGTTCCCACTCCTGCCTGTCTGTTACGCTGGGCTCTGCCAACCTTCCCTGCTCTGTCCGTGTGTGCCAAGGAATTCCCCCTGCCTCCTGGTCCTTCATTTGCAGGTAGGGACTGCAGTAGACCCTTTCTGTAGGATGATGTTGAAAAGAGCTGGAGACTCATCTCCTGTTGTTGGCTTCTCCAGGTAGTTCTTAGGGAGCCAGTTTGATTTTGGAGCCTTCCTGGTGCTGCACATACACAGAGCTGAGGGTATTTGCAGTTGTTCCTTCCCACCACAGGGCCACGGGGTTTGGGGTCGTTTGGTTTAATTGTACATCTTATACATGCTGAGGGTTTGGGTCAAACACCATTTCCCTTCCCGCACCAGGACAGGCCTTACAAGCACCGAGGGTGTAGTTTGGGTTTCAGCCTTGCTGTTTAAGATCACTCTGGGGCTGATATGGGGCCTTTTGGCCTCAGGGCAGATCTCAGGAGGGCTGAGGATGAGAGGCAGTCTTACCCTTCCCACCCCTGCTGTTTTTAGGAGAAGGCCTAACCTTTTGCTTTGGCAGGCACAGGGGAAACAGCTCCGAGCCAGGGCAGACACTGCCAGCAGCCGTGGAAGCCGATGCCCATTTGTGCCGGGATCTAGCAGGAATGGGATTTTCCAGGGATGGAAGGGGCAGGGCTGTGGTGGTGTTGAAATGCCCCCATGATGCTGAGGCAGGGCCCTCCCTCCCCAGCCAGAAGTGTCCCAGGTGCATTTTCACTCCCTCCTCAGCCCTTTTTTCTCCACAGGTACACCCTCAGTCCCCGTTCTGAACAGCTTTAGTGGAGCATTTAATAAACTCTCCTGTGGTGTGGTGTGTGCATTGTGCTCCCAGCACACTCTCAAACTGGCATTCCCAGGAGGAGTGCAGGGCACTGCTGGCAGTGGGTGTCCTGCCCCCGGGGGGGCTCAGGTTTCACCCTGGAAACCGCATCAACAATTTTAGACAGAACCGTATTTCTTGGAATTGAGAAAATGGCAGGTACTTTTTATTGAAGAGTTTAGTGGCAGCTGAGAGCAGGGCACCATCGGGGCTCGGGACAGAACATCAGCCAGGCCCTTGTTCTCCTCAGGGCACACTTGGTACAGCAGCACTGGGACTGGGGTACTTTTCCCCAGGGAATGGGGGGACACGTGTGAGCAGCAGTCACGGGCTGTGCCCCTGCTGCCCCAGAGCCCAGGATCCAGCCCCGTGGCTGGAGCCCTGCCACCTTCCCCACCCCCTCTGTCCCGCCAGGAAGGGAGCTCAGTGCAGACTAAAGATGTCACACTGCCAGTGACATGGCAAGGGGGGTGACACTGGTGTCCCCAGGGAGGCCCCACTGCCAGTAACAGCTCTGCCTTCACCTGGGCTGGGCTCCAAGGCAGGAGGGGCAGTAGCCCTGGGAGAAAGCAAGTTACTGTCCGTGGAAGGTACACGGTAGGTGTTAGGGTGGTAGACAGAGCACAAAGTATTTGGTTTGCGTCTCCATGGGGTGCTTTTATTCTAAATTTCTGCTGCTTTACTCTCATGGTGTTGCTGGGAAGGCAGTAACAGCCCAGCTGTTTGTGCTTCTGCACACATGTTTGCTGATCATCCCCAATAGTCCCCACTGGAGTGAGACCAGACAGTTCCTTGGTTGATGTGAAAGGCTCTGGAAAAGCTGTAAATATTTCTGAACTAGGTCACACAGAAGGATTTTATGTCAAAGGCTGAGCTGTCCGTGTGGTTGAAATGTAGCTGCTGTCCAAACAGATCGATGAGGAGCAAAGGGGCCAAAAATGGAAACCAAACACCAAACCCAAAGCACAGGTGAAATTGTACCTGCTCCACCCCAGTTCCCAGTTAACTGAGCCACTAAAAGCCTTCTGTACACTGTTGGCAATTTTAACATACACCGAGCTAAAAAAATCTCCATAATTTGAAGAACAAATAAACCTTTCCTCTCAAAACCCCAACTGGGTCCCTCCCCTGTGGGCTGGTTTTGTTCCAGTTGGGCATTCCTGTGCATCCACATGGTTCTGAGGAGGTTAAAAAAATAACAAACCTCTGGGAGCTAAGCTGGAGCTGAGCCTGTCAGTGTATGAGAAACAAGACATCCCTCTTCTCCCCACTGTACATGACACTGGAGTGAGGTTTGGGGTTGCTGAAAGGAAAGCTTGCTTTTCCAGGGCAGGTTTTTGGGATGAGGTAAGTAACTGCAGGAACAAAGTGGTGATTGAGGCTGGCTCGAGGCTCCCCCTTGCCAAAGGAGGCTTTGTTCCTGTGCTGAGTGACTCCTGCCGAGGCAAAACCTTTGGTGTTTTGGGACTTGCTCAGCCCGTGTATAGAAACAGTTTGTTTTCCTCTCCCCCAGGATGTAGCCATTTCTCCAAGGCAGAGGGATGAGGTCATCCAGTGGCTGGCCAAGCTCAAGTACCAGTTCCACCTTTACCCAGAAACACTCGCCCTGGCCATCAGCCTCCTGGACAGGTTTTTAGCTGCAGTAAAGGTAAATATTTGTGGATCCTTAACCTGGAGTAGATTCCTACCCCCTGTGTAGCTGTTGGTGTGTGCAGTCTGACGGAAACTCTTCCTTTTCCCCTGGTGCTCACACCCCTTCATTGCTCCCAGTGGATAGGCTGGCACCTGCCGCTCCAGAGCCTCATCTGGGGTGGGCTCTGAGATGCCAGGAGCCCAGTCTCACCCTGAACCAACTCAGAAGGTAAAGGCAGTGCCCATGAACTGTTACAGCTGCTGCAAACCGAGGCCCAGTGCCCTCGGACAATTTCCTGTTGGGAAAATCTCTGCTCACCTCAATTTCTCAGGTGTTTATTGGCATTCACCTCATTCGTACCACCTGGATTGCCAGGAGCACCTGCTAGCAGGGAACCAGCTGGGAGAAAAAGTTTGAGGTTTGGGCCTGGCAAGTGGGCTGGTACAGGGAAATGGGAAAAAAAGGGAGGGGGGGGCAAAAGAAGATAGAGCCAGAGGCACAATTGTTGTGGGACATTTCCTGCCTGCCTGCTCTACAGCCAGGCTGATGGACTCGCAGCTTCGGCTCACGTCCAAGGGGTGCGAAGGAGACAGGGAAGCACGCACGGGTAGAAGCTTCTGTGGGACACGTGTCGCCTCCTGTGGTACTGAACCCACTGCGTACTCCCCAGCAGGAGAGTAGAGGAGCCCCCTTGTTTTTAAAACTGTTCCACCATAGAAACTGCTTAAAAAGGGGGTGAAAAACCAGCACTCAGGCTCCCTGCAACTTCCTCTGGCCCTGTGAGTTACCTGGGCTGTGCTTGAGCTGTGGTTTTGTACCTGCCAACTGACTGAACAAACTCTGCTCCAGCTGGGAACCCCTGGCCTGGAGCTGTGAGGTCAGGCTTTGGGAAGTTCATCTCTTACTGCGTTTGCTCAGCTACATTCTGTGCTTGGCACAGCCCCGGTCTCACCTGCACGTGTCTGACCTCACCACCAGCACGTTGGGTAAGCTGTATCCCTTAGGAGAGGGAAGCACGAGGATGCATTCCCAGCCTCTGCCCTTGCAGTCCAGTGTGACTGAGTTTGGTAGAAAACAACTGACATCATTCATTAACCCACCCTTTAAATATTAATAAATATTGATCATGTTTTCATACAAGCCATGGAAGGTCTTATTTTTAAGGAGATCCCAAAGTAGCTGATTTACTAAAATGCTGAGACGGGAAAGATTTAAATCCCTCAGCAGCCAATGCCCTCAAGGACATTTTTTCTTTCAGTAAGTTGGAGCAGTCAAGGAATGTGTACAAAAAGCATGGGAATACGAGTCAGGAGCCCTCTGTGTGCTTGAGGAAGTGAGCAGGGATTGGGAAAGGGCCTTAGCCTGGATAACCATCAGGGCTCTGTGCTCCTTCTCCCAGCTCTCCTCTCCCATAAAGCTCTCATTGCTCTGATGCAGCTCAGCTGGCTTTTTATCAGGCACTACTATGTGGGGTTTTATTACGAAGAGAACCAGTGCCTTCCCATCCCCAGCAACACAGTTTGGGATTGCTGGGACTGGCTGTGACCCACAGCCAGCAGTGTTGGTGTGTGTCACTGCACAGCGCTTGTTAGCCCCCAGCAGGGCCCAGTTCTGGTCCTGCCCTAAGGGAATTAATTCTCTTGGACACCTGAGTGCACAAGTGAGTGGGTTTTCAGGTTTGCTGCAGGATTTTCACTTACCTTTCTTTCAGCATCTCCAGCTGTGCCACGTTTAGGAACAGCCTCTGCCTCTCACAGCCCCTGGCCACTGTGGAGGAGGGGGCCATGTCCAGTGCTTGTTACACTGCTGGTGGGAGTGAAGCCCTTTGTAAAGACAGGCACACAGAGCTCACAGACAAACCCCTTTCCCATCCTGATTTCATTTACCTTGCCTAAACCATCTCCCTGTGGAAGAGACTGGTTCTCCTCCACTAATCCCTGGGCCACAGTTTTGAGAACTGTAGTGCAAAATGACTTAGTGGTGTTTTCCTGAGTTACACTTCCCTAGGCAAGGCATTCCTCCTTCCCATTTGTGCTGCAGTGCCTGAGCCCGAGCTCTTTCCACTCCAGTGCTGCCCGTTCCGATCACGGGGCTGCCAGATCAGATCTCTGCTCGGCCTGATGTCACAGAGCGTGGATTTGTGCTTGGCACAGCCTGCCACTGCCAGGGCATAGTTAGAGGTCAGCCTGCTGATCCACAAGGAAACCCTGGGGCTCAGCATGTCCAACCAGAAGGATCAGGGCATCATTTCTGCATCACACTGACACAGACTTCTCTGCTCTTCTGTCCTGCAGGCCCGTCCAAAGTACCTCAACTGTATTGCAATCAGCTGCTTCTTCCTTGCTGCAAAGACCACTGAGGAAGATGAGGTAACTGTTCTTCCTACCTTGGCATTGTCAGAGTATCTGTCCTTCCAGTCCTGCCTTTGCCTGCACACAGAGGCTGACACCTGCCAGGACAGGAATGAAGCATTTGGTGGGATTTCTCTAACAATCCGTTCTCGTTGCTTTTTTTGTGTTGGCTTTTGCAGAGGATTCCAGTACTGAAGGTGTTGGCTCGGGATAGCTTCTGTGGTTGTTCTCCAGCTGAAATCCGCAGAATGGAGAAGATCATCCTGGATAAACTGAACTGGGATCTTCACATGGCAACGCCACTGGATTTCCTTCATATTGTAAGTAGGGGGCTACTGATGGTCCATCAGGTGTCTGTCAGTGCAAATAACGTGTTGAGAAGCACCTCATCAAAAATTCTACCTGTAGGGGAACAAAACCTTGGGAAATGTTCCTCTGTACAAGTACTGCCTGAATGAAAAAGCCTTGCCAGAGAAGCCAGGCAGGTCCCACTAAGAAGGGCTGCACCAACCTTTGGGGGGTTCAACATGTTGGGTTTTCCCCCGGCATGGAAACTCCTCCAAGGTTAAGCTGGAGGATGCCGGCGTGTCTGAGCCATCTGACACGGTGTTCCCGAGGTCGGTGTCTCCAGCTGTCTCCTGTGCTTGTCTCCCCGCAGTTCCACGCCGTGGCAGTGTCCAGCAGGCCGCAGCTCCTGGCCCTGCTGCCCACGCTGAGCCCGTCACAGCACGTGGCAGCGCTCACCAAGCAGCTGCTGCACTGCATGGCCTGTTTCCAGCTGCTGCAGTTCAAGGGCTCCATGCTGGCACTGGCCATTGTTAGCCTGGAGCTGGAGAAGCTGCTCCCCGACTGGCTGGCTCTCATCATCGAGCTGCTCCAGAAGGCACAGGTGAGGGGCACAGAGGGACCGGGGACAGATCCTGCTCAGTCCTCCAGCCAGCCAGGCCTTTGGGATCCATGGCTGCCAGTGGCTGCCTGCTGGTACACCTGTGTGGGGATGGCTGGGCTCCATCCTGACCACATCCAGTGGGTGACAGGGGTGGGAACTGTGTGCCCTCATGTACACGGTGTCCTGCTGCACCAGGGAGAAAACACATCAGGGCAAATTTCCTAGTTAGTGGATGGCATTCATTCCCAGAATACTGACAAGAAGTGGAAATGCTCTGGCAGTGAAACCCTTCAGTGTCTTTTAAGCTTTTTCCTCACCACTATTCCCCTGAGGTATAAGAAGTAGCAGCAGGGGGTGTATCCCAGAAAGTCATCATGGTAGGGGTGCTGTATCATTTCCTCCTCCTGCATCCAGCGATGCGTGGCTGGGTGGTGCTGTTGGAGCCCGGGCCCTCTCCTCACCATGGTGGTGATCCCACAAGGCCGGTACCTTTGCTTGTCTTCCCCCTCCAGATGGACAGCTCGCAGCTGATCCACTGCCGGGAGCTCGTGGCACATCACCTTTCCACTGTGCAGCCTTCTCTGCCGCCCAACTCTGTATATGTCTACAGTCCCCTCCAGCAGACCCTGGTGACCTGTAACAGAGGAGCGTTCCAGCACCAGCCCTCCTCTGTCCCAGGGCCGGGTCTCTCCAAGGACAACGGCCGGCCAGAAGTGCCAGTCACAGGTACAGCCGCGCTCTACCAGCGCCGTCCCGCCCCCGCCGGTGGCTGCAAACAGGCCTCCACCAAGCGCAAGGTGGAAGAGATGGAAGTGGACGACTTCTACGACGGGATCAAGCGTCTCTACAATGAGGACCTCGCCCCGGAGGTCGTGGCCCTGGAGAACATGGGCTCTGTTTGCGGCGCCGACGTCTCGCGGCAGGAGGGCAGCGTGTCCCCTTGCCCGCCCCTGCAGCCGGTGTCTGTCATGTAGCTGCGAGTGCCACCACCCGCTCCAGGAGCCCCGCCGGACCTGGTGGCCTCGGTGGGGGGAGAAGGGGCCATACCTTGTCAGGCTGAACTGAAGGGAGCCAAAAAAAAAAAAAAAAAAAAAAAAAAAAAAGCCAGGAAAAAAAATCCCAACCCCTTTTTGAATATTATTTCTTGTGCGGCTAATTATAGTTCCACTATTTAAGCACTTAAAAACACAAAAAAGTATAAAAATCTAAAAAAAGACCCAAAAACCAACCAAAAAAAAAAGTAGCAAAAACCTGTTCCTTTCTAGTGTTGTCAGTTCCACTGTTTTTCTGCTCCTGTGTGTTGTAACCCGTTCTCCACGTCTGAGTGCTCACATCAACCCTGCAGAGCTGATCCAGGTTTCCCAGCCAACTAACACCTCTGATCCCATTCCCACCTGCTCCTTGCTCCCTTTCTGCTTGCTCCTCTTTTAATTCTCAGCCAGTCTCGTGCTAGACGTTCTGTCCTGCCCCACAGCTTTTTCTTTTGCCCTTCTAAACAGAAAACCTCTTTTCTTTTGTTAATACTTGGGTGTTTAAATGTGATAATACTGCAAAACTGGATTTAAACAAAAGGTTAGGTAGGAAAAAAAACCAAACCAATTCTTGCAAGCTGCTCCACGCTTCAGTGATGCCCACAGGAGTGTGAAGGTGTGCTGGAAGAACACCAGGGCAGTTGGCCCCAGTGCTCTGCCTCACACAGCGACTTCTCCAGTGACACCGGTTTGCCTCTCCCAACACAGAAAGCAGTTACTGCATTTTCTAGCACTAGAACCAAAACGGTATTTTTTTTTCTTGTTTGCAGCGAGAAATGTTGCACTCTGTAAATTTTCACCAATGCTTTACTCTCTCCATGAAATGTAAACCTTGAATTGCGCAGAGCTTGATTTTGCCCACGCTTTTCCCAGCACTGCTGGGTGAGGTGCCGGGGCGGCTGTGGACACCTGAGGTTTGGAGTGTGTGTCCCTGTCAGTCACAAAACCAAAACAAAAGACCCTGACCCTCGAGTTTTGTGTTCCTCTAACTTCTAACCAAGAGTCAGACCTTTAAACCTGTCTTGTCCCTGTGACACCCCTGTTCTCAGAATGCCCTGTCCCGACTGTACGCTCTCTCCACAGCCCTGAGGAAGGTATCGTATCCGGAGCCATTGTACTGATGAAAGCCTTCTGGTAGCAATAAAGAAAGTTGTCCTGGATTCCCAGTCTGGTGGTGTGCTTTTCACCCGAGCCCTGGATCAGTTTTATCCGGATGCTGCCAGGGAGCTGCTCCGTGCCAGACCCCTGACAAAGTGCCTTCAAGTGCTTCAGGGTCCTGGGCAGCCCCTGGGGTGCCAGGGGAGTCACCCAACATGAACTTATTGCCTCCAGCAGTTGTGGCTTTAGCCCCAGCTCTGGTGCTCCTCACTCCTGGCTGTTCCCTTTCCAGGCCGAGTGCATGGCTGGAACACTGCTCCATCTCCTGTCCTGGAGCCCGTCCTGCCCTGTGCCTTCCAAGGTGCCGTCTTCTTATCGTGCACAGACCACCACAAGACCCTTCCCACAGGTTTCAGCTCTTCCTTCCTGTGTCCTGAGAAACCTCTCCCCAGGCCATATTTCTCAGAGGGGTGTGCCTCTTCCTTCCCTTTCAGCCCTTCCTGCCATCATGCTATTTCCAGACCCTGACCTTCTCATCCAGTGGCTGGCTCAGTGTTCTCCAGCCAGGTTGCTGTGCAGTCCTGGAGTGTAAACAGCACAGCCCCAGCAAGGCACCCTGTCACTGCAGGAGAGTCCCCGCTCCGGTGCTCTCTGCTTCCAGCTCACCGCACGTTGCACATCTAATCCAAGTTAAATTACACTGGCTTCTCCCCCTCCACATGCTCCTTCCCTCCCAGGCTGAAGGGCACGTTCCCCCTTGCCCCACTCGCACACCAGCACACAGACACTCGTGAGGATCGCAGCCCAGTCCCACCACAGGGTCACTGCCCAGAACTCTTCCCGGCCTCCCTGTGCTGCCCGGAGCCACACAGGCCACAGCACCGACTTGGCAAGCTCCTGGGAGGCAAAATCCTGCAGAGGCAGGGCTCGGTCTCCCTCCCTGCCAAGGGAGTGCTTTCCTGCTCCCAGCCCCAGTGGATTGCAGAGAGACAGACACTTTATTTTGCTGGTGCTATGTACAAACCCACACCAGTGATTTGTGCCAGGCAACTCCAAGAAAAAAGGCTCAGGTACAAAGCCTATCCCTAGTCCCTGTGACCCACCCCCTGCAGTGTCCTGCTGTCCTGGCACAGGCCCTGGACACCTGTGGGCACATCCCTGGCTGTGCTGCCTGCACTGGTGTACACATTAACAGTGCTCTGTGGCTAACGAGGTGACCTTCAGACATAGCCTTACCTTGGAAAATGAGTCGTCCCAGCAACACCAGCTCCTCCACGTAGCAGATCCAGTTGATTTGGAAACAACCGACATGGCCAGAGAGAAAAGCCATTTCCCACTTCCCACATTTCCTCCCCAAAAAAACCCCTGGCAAAAACGTCTCTTCCAAGCTGCCCCCCCATCACCTTCAGTAGCTGGCTTGTACGCAGCTCTCCCTGTCAGAACACAGAGCTGGGCCTGGAGTGCTGCCAGGGCTCCCTGTTTCCCACAGGAAAACCTTCCCTGGTGTGCCCTTGAGTCCTCACGTTCCTGTGATCTTCCCACAAGCGTCACAGCATCCCAGTGCTCCCCACCAGGGACCTGCTCGACACCTGCCCAGGGTGCACCTGCTCCAGCGGGGTCCGGAGCAGCGAGGGCAGGAGTCCAGCCCAGCACACGGGGCAGGTGAATGGTCGGCTGGAGAGGAAACCAATTCCCAGTTGCAGGCTCAGCTCCTGCTGGCCCTTCTCCCTCGTGAGCACTGGGATAACACCACTGCGTTCACAAACCCCAGCATGTTATTGCTCAGTCCCCAAACCCAGGGAGCTCCTCAGGGCATGGCAGGGACAACCCAGCAGAGCACTGCTGCTCGTTTCCAACGCCTTCAGCCATAATCCCGGCTCACCCTGCCCTGCTGCACTGCTCCCTGCAGCACCCCAGCTTCCCTCAGCCCCCGGAGGGTTTGCTCTGAGGACACGAGAGCACAGATCCCCTCCAGCAGCCACACGGAGGGGTTAAGCCCAAAGCATGATCTGTAACTCAGGCACCCACTCCCTCCAATGGAAGAAGTGGCTTTCCCAGCTCTGCTGGGGACACCTGGTGACAAATAACCTCTCTGAGCTGTCCTCAGCAGGTTTCACACTGCCATCCTCTCCCCACACTGGCACCTCTTCCCCAACAGCTGCTGCCTTGAGGAAGCAGCCCAAGGGCACACTGCCATCCCCTCCCCAGCCCCAGGGTGTGGGGAAGCCTCCAACACCCTCTGCCCCTCAGTCTCACTGTGGACACTGGCAGGGCCTTCCTTCTGTCCCAGTATCCACCACCACTGGATTATGGCTGTCAGGTGTTTCATCTTGTTTTCCCTATGGATCTCTTCTCCTTGAGTTTGCCTTTAAAAAACACCCACCAATCAACCCCAAAACCTTCTGCTGACACCACCTGCCTCAACAACCCGAGGCAACAAATTCCATAAGTTTACTACCTGCTCCTTAACAGTTACTCCTCTGGTCTAGTTGTGACGACTTGCTGACTTAGCAGGTCAGCACGCACCGCCATGGTAACTTGGAGAGCTCTGCAACAACAGTCACAAATAAATCTGGGCTGCAAGGGACCTCTAGAGGACACGTGCTGCCACCTCCTGCTCACAGCAGGGCTGATCCTCCCTCACCTCTGCCTTTTCCTGGCCCAACTGAGCCATCTCACCTGGAAGTTGCTGCTCCATCCCATTTACCATTAGTGCCCTTCTCTAACTCCACTATGTCCTTCTGGAGACACGAAGTCCAGAGCTGCAAGCAGGACTCAAGGCACCAGCACAGCAAAACTCTTATAGAGCTGCAAAATAAAGGCAGTCTGTGTAAGTTGTGGTATTTGGTTTGTGCTTCTCTTTAGATTAAGCTTTAAAAAAATTCCCATCTGGAGTTTAGAAGTCACTGGGGAAAAAAGGGCTTTACCCCTCCTCTAACCTTGTCACAGCAGCACTACAGGGGTGTCACCCAGGGCTGAGCCCCTGCAGGGGATTAACCACAAACTCCCCCAGTCCAGCCCAGCACCTGCCAGGGGCAGAAGAAATGCCCCAGAAACCGTGCTCTCGAGAGCAACTTGCAGACTCCTACTCCCACATAGAGCCATCCCACAGTTTTTAAACATAACAAAGAAGTCCAAGGAGTGAGACAAACAATACTGTTGCAGGACTGCACAGCTTCCTACATCTGGCCATCTCGAGGGAAGCACTGGTGGCTGGAGAGCAGGTACCACCTGAGAGGTGCAAATACTGATAGCCCTGCTGTCTCAGCAATGGTCAGCAGGTCCAGCTACACACCAGGCAAATCAGCACAGCACACACACCAGGCCAAACACTTCATAACCTTTCTTACTGTATCTTTAAAGTCACTTGGTTGGTTGCAAGGATGTCCAGGATGAGCAGTTTTCCCTCCACCCTTGTCATTGGAAAGTGCTGTGAAATATTGTGCTTTTGAAAAAAAAAAAAAAAAACAAAATCCAGCACGTCACACAGGGGAGAGGCCAAACCTAGACCATTTCCTGGTTAAAGGAGGGGAATTCCTTGATTAAGGCTCACAGATGCAAAGAGTCAGTCACTGGTATTCAGTTAAAAATAAAAGTGCATCACTCCACAGGAAAAAACATCCCAAGAGGCTCAGGCTGCCTCCTTCCCTCTGTGCCAAACCAGCTGGAGATCACCGCACACCACACTTACAGGCTTTGTTTTTACCTTCAAACAATCCTTTGGCACTTCTCAAGCTTTTTGACTGAATTCAATTCCAAAGTAAACAAGGTACAAAGTTTAACAACTTGCCCACACTCAGGACTGCTAAAAAAATAATTGCTAATTAGGCTTCATGAAAACAAAGCGAAGCCCTCGATCTAAGTACAAGTCACTGCAGTTCAGTTGTACAAGAAAATCCTACTTTGCTACATCAGCCAGAAAATAAGGCCTTGGCTGTCCAGAACAGGCTCCATCAGCACCACAGGGCGCAGCATCCACCATCCCCACTTCACACACTGACATACTGAGAACATTCCCGGGTCTACAGAGCGGTTTCCACCCGTGTCAGAGCAGCACAGGATGCCCCTGGGATGAAGCTGTGGTGTCCAAAGCAGCCAGACTCGAGGCAGGAATGAAACCCTCCAGTTCACACACTCACCCCCAATCTGTCACTGCGTGTCATCAGCAACGTGTGCACATTATGGCAAAAGGTGAGAAAATGGCAGGGGAGGAAAGAAATCTGACTAAGCCAGCGTGGCGTGTGCCGTTGTGGCCGTTACCTCTGGCAGCCCGGGAAGCCTGGCCGCTGTCGGAGCCGCCCGGAGCGACAGATCCCGCACAGACACACAGCACAGCGCACGGGAGGGGACAAGAGGGAAGGAGATGGAGGAATGAGATGGCTCTTCTCCTGGCGGGGCTGCCCGTAGCCGCAGGCTCTTCCAGTGCCCTACAGCCCACGGGAGAGGGGGTGTGGGAGCTTTGGCAAGGTGACGGCTACATAAAGAAGAAGCTACGGAAAGAGAGAAAAAACAGAAGAGAAAAGAAACAGAGGTTCAGAATTGAAATGAAGGGGTGGGGGTGGGGGAATAAAGGAGGAACAACAATTTAAAGTAAGTCGTGAAGGAGGGAGCGCGCTGGGGAGCTGCCACACACACCAGGGGGACGCCTGAGCACCCCAAGACACCGGCTGAGGTGGGGAACACCCACACAACACCACAAGAAGGGACTGACAAACACCAGCACGAGCCCACAGAGGCACCTCAAAGGCACAGAACGACCTGCTGGAAAGGCAGAGGGTGACAGGTGACCCTCCTGTCACACCGTTACAGGATGGCACAGCAAATGTCACAAAGGTCACGCAAAGACCAAAGCTTTGGGTAAAAATATATTTCCTCTCCCCACTTCAAGTGTTGGCACTATTTGGATCTGTAACCTAAAGCATATACAAGAAATAACTTGAGCTTATGCTCTAGGGTTATTATTCCATCTGTAATTCCAAAACTGAAATACTTTCACATCAAATAAAGTGACAATATCTAACAGATGCATACATATCACTTGCATTAACACTGTATGTCGGTTACACAATTATTTAGTTACAAACACGGGTTATTTTCCAATAGCAAGGTAATAAAGTCCTACATCTATGGTTTAAGGCAATCAGGATATTAAAAATGTATACAAATACAAGATTCCTACCGCTGTTCACAGCTTTATTTTCCGTGAATTAAAAAAACCCCTTCATGTTTGTACAGCTCCTCGCTGGATATCACACACTGCAAATGCAACCTGGGCCCTCGGAGAAGGGACAACATCCACCTCCCCTTCCAACACCTCCCAAGGGCAAAAGGAACTGGAGCCAAATGGACAAACCTGTGATCACACACAAAAAGACACTTCCATCCGCACTTGGACGGTTTAGGAGAAGCAGAACAAGAGCTGCCTGGGGAAACATCACTTGTGTTAAACACAGACATGTTTCCAGAGAGACACTCATCTCCCTGCTGGGATTTCAGGCTGGCCATGACAAGGAGGAGCCCGGGGTGGGTGCCAGGCACTACCTTCCCCGCTCCCAGAGAGCCACGTGCCACAGGAGATGCAAGACAATGCATTCAATGACCACGAGCTCCGCCTGCCCGGCCCACGGGTGCCCAACCTGTACAGAGTACTCACAGCCCCCCTCAGCGACCTGACTGTGTTTTTCCATCCTGGGGGTTTGTTCCACGGCCTGGGAACACCACCATCCCAGCAAAGGTGTGTTCCAGTGTGCTTTCCTGCTCCTTTACACAAGACTGAGGTTTGAAATGCAGTCAGGAGCACACAGCACCATCAGCTCGTTACCATGGCTGTCTAATCACGTTCAGTGCCGCAGGGCCTCCCAAGCAAGGCCTTGCCCAACCACGTGTCCAGCTTCTGGCACGCAGGGAAGCTGCCCAGGGTTGCTCTAGGCATCCAGCTGGATGTTGTGCTCCCTACAGCTTCTCTACAACAGCAAAAGTAGCCTGCAGACAGTTTTAGGGGGTTTTAGCCAAGCCACTTGTGAGGAAATGGACTTAATCTCCCAGAAAAGTACGACTGGTTTCCTGTCAGGAGCGAGGCAGGAAGGTGAGTCTCTTGCTGCTGTACTTACATGCAAAGGTGAAAGCACATCCAGCCAGCCCTGGGTGTATCACTCACTCCATGCACACCAGGGGCTACTGTGAAAAAAGGCATTAGAGAGAAAAGCAAGAAGTGCAGCAGTGACAAGCTAAACATGGCCCAGAGGTTTAAGGTGAAAAAAAAGTCATTATTATCTTCTGTGGTGAAAACCAAAACAATACCTTGGACATCTGCAAGCTTGTGGTTTATTCCCAGTTTCTCCAACACAGTTTGCTTTTTGCTGGAGAAAGAAACTCAACCAAAAAGTCATTAACGCACTTGGCCACTGCTTTCTGTCAAAAAGCAAAAGCTCAACTCAGCTGATTTCCCCTGCTAAACATCCCTTGAAGGGCTGTTAAATGAAGCAGTACAAATAAATGTTAAAATTAAGTTTTCAACTTGGCACAAAACACTGGTAATTAAAAAGAGGACATGCACAGAGACAGCTGAAGCGAAGCATATTGCCACGAGCACTCAGTGATGGGCATGTGATGTGACTGTAAAAAACTCATGCAAACAATCCAAACTTCTTCCTTCATAACTCAAGATTTTAAAGCTAGGTTTGCCAGAAGCCACAAGAACCAGCATTTCATTTTTCCAAACAACCCTGCAGCAAACCTATTTAACTTGGCAAAAAGCGCATCATTGGCAAGACCAGGAGGTAAAAAAAAAAAAAAAAAAAAAAAGGATTAAAGGGTCAACTATTTTATTTTCTAGCTTATTTATCTACTTTTCTGTTCTGTCCAAGACACGGCATTTAGATATCCTCTTCCCAAAGCCATGTTTAAGCAGTGAGGGTTAAAAGCAAGACAATCCATAAGCTAATCCTCCCAGCACACTTGAGGAAGAAGTAATAAAATAAGTGATAATTCTGCCTTTTTTTTCCCCTGGAGAAATTCCATCCAGAAACAAGCAAAGAGATGCAGAGCGTGAGACTCAGGTGGGAGGAGTTATGTGCAGGAGTGCTTTAAAGAAAGGAAAGGAGGCTCTGCAGCCAGGAGCAGAGCAAGTGCTGGCTGTGCATCAGCAGCAGAGAAAGGAACTCAGGAGTCATCGGATAAGCATGGCTTGCCACTTCCTGGAAAGGAAGGCAAAGACTCAGCCCAAAAGCAGTGGCATAGAAAATACATTAACCAGACCCCCTTCCTCCCTGCACAGGCCCAGAGCGAGGCCTGGCTTATCCTACATGTCCTTGGCACGTTCAGGGGACACTCGAATGGGACGCTGCCCCTGGTGCAGGAGGGCTGGTGGGGTGCACACAGTGTGTCCGGGTTCCTTCTCTACTTGACCTGGAATTGTGGATCCACAGCTGTGCAGCTCTGTATTTAACTGTGTGCAGGAATGCTCCTGGAGGCTCTAAGAGGATGCTGAAGGCTCTGCGTCCCCCCTGCCCAGGCATTTGATTCCACAGGGGCTGCTAAGCCTTTGGAAACCAGGCAGGATTTTAAGGGAGGTTCCCCAAAGGTTGTGGGCAAGTACTGCAGGGCCAGCAGTGCTGGGAATGCTCCTGCCCCCGGGCACCCACAGCTGCTGTGCTGAACTGGGAGGGGGGCTGTGAAAACAGGCCAGCACGGGACAACAAACCGAGCCACGGTCAGGCCAGACAACAAAAACAGCAACTAATACACGTTATCATGCAAATGTCACGGCATGCAAGGTCAGTTAACTTGGTTATCTACACACACCCCCCTCCCTCTCCCCAGCAGCTCCTGCTGGAACACATCAGCTCCTCCAGGAATAGGGGCCAGGCTGAACTCCAGGGTTAGCCACGCCCCCGACTGGCTGGGACATTCCTCCAGCAGCAATTCCCTGGGGCTGGAGTCCAGGAGCTCCCTCAGCACAGGTTACTGCAGCGCTGAGGACACCTGAGCCAGTCAACGCTGCTCACACCCAGTCCTGACTCTTGGTTAAACTGGGGGCCAAAACTGATTTACAGCTGATGGTTTTGGTGACAGAAACACACAGTATCATTACCTTGTCCCTCCACCCGCCCCTGAACTCCCGGCTGCATACAGTGCTGAACCCAATCCCTCTTCCTTCTTGTTCCCCCTATGTTATTAGATGAGTTAATAGTTATTCATGTTAAAAAATTAAAAAAAAAAAAAAAAAAAAAAAAAAAAAAAAAAAAAAAAAAAAAAAAAAAAAAAAAAAAAAAAAAAAAAAAAAAAAAAAAAAAAAAAAAAAAAAAAAAAAAAAAAAAAAAAAAAAAAAAAAAAAGAAAAAGAAAACAGATGGCAGAGACACGTTACTGCAAAAGCAGGTGAATGCAGGAACATCCTTGGCTCGACAGGCTTTATGTGAAGCTTGCACTGCAAGTTAAAAAAAGAACAAAAAACAAAAAAGTTAGCACTAATTGAACTCAAAATGAAAAAAAATATCAAAGAAAGCCAGGAAAGCCGACACCAGCAACTCGCTCTGGTGGGTGGGCATGCACATGGATTATGGAATTACAAAGGAATTCAACCTCAAGGCCAGGCTCTACCCCAGCCTATGACAAGCAAACATAAAAAGAAAATCCAAGGGAGCAGAACTACTGACCAACCAACCATGTAAGCTGGGCCGGAGCAGCCGTGGTGGACTGAAAACTTCCCTAGAAAGGAAACTTGAAAAAACCCCAAGTCTTACATTCCGTTTGCAGAAGCAGGTTGAAATAACCCAAAACAGCCCCCAAACACATGGTGCCAGCTCCTGGGGGCTGGGGGTGAGCAGTAACACAGCAGCACATGTTGAGGCATGTGCCCATCTCCCAAACAGCAGGCGAGCACCAGAAGGCTCTGATTTGGGCCATTGCCAGGAACTACCTCCAGGCTGTGCAGGTTTGAAGCACAGCTCCATCCCAAAATTCCAGCAGGGGCTCAGTGAGTATGCTCAGCCCCACATTCAGGTGATCACTCGAGTGCACCTCTCCAGTGTCTGAGGTACAGAGATGTGCTGTCCCCAGAACAGCACACTGCTGCCATCAGGCCAGAGCCCCAGTTCTAGAGAAAAAATGAGTACAAGCTGGGAAACCCTGGAGGAATAGTCTGGAAATCAGGAGGGCCAAGCTCTCCCTCAGGGAGTCAGACCAGCAGCAGATTTCACCCTGAACCTTCCCTCTGGCATGCACAGCACAGCACAGCAGAAACTCCCTGTTCTCCAAGTTGGAGAAATCTGATCCCACCTGGAGAAAAGAAAGCATTCCCGTGATTTACTTTCTGGGGAGGCTGCGAAGGTCAGGCATGGCAAGGATTTCCTCTGGCAACTGCACAAGAAGCACCCCAGGCCATGTCAGCAGAGAGAGAGGATGGAAGCCTTTAACCACACAAACTGCAGCTGCTCATTAGAGTGCCAAGGAGAAACTCAAAGCCTTTGGAAACCCAAGGTGTGCTACGGGGCAGAAGCACCGGCATTTCCCTCGAAAGCCTCCGTTAGTAAGTGCGACACTAAAGAACAACGGAAGCAGGTACAGCACCTGGTGTGGAGCACAAAGGACACACTAAAACACGGGGATGTTCCTCAGGGCTGGGTTTCTGTGAATGCATCAGCAAAGCAGAACCTGCGTTGGTCACGGTCGCTGGAAACATCCCTGTCTCACCCCCCATGCCGTGTGTGTGCCAGCCAACCTCCCGGAGCAAAGAGTGGCTGCTCCAAGAGACAGAACTCCCCAGACCGTTCTGCACTGCACTGAGCTCGGATCTAAGAGGAAAAATCTGACTGCAGAGTTCTTAAAAAGATTAAGCTACCAACTCTGCTAAAGAGATAAGAAAAAGAGGGCCTTCAAAACTTTCTGTTCTTTCTAGAAAATACATCACCACGTCTGAATTCTCAGGTGAGGGAAGACAGGGGTTTCAGCCTATCCTGCTCACAGCCACGGCTGCAGGAGGGTGTTTCAGCACGCCTGGACCCCACAGGTCCGTAAGGATTCCTACCCAAGCAGAGCATGCAGCACACAGCCCTCCACGGCCAGGCTCTCAGCCAGCATCGAGCAGCAGGGCTCCATAGGAGCTACATCAATTGGCCTCAGCTGAGGAACCAGCCCCAGGCCCTCCCCGGGGCAGAAGCAACAACCGTTGGGCAGCGACCCAGCAGCAGGGACAGGGGACATGCAGCGAGTGTGAACTGCCACGCTGTAAAAACACCCCAGTCCAGCTGCAGGACAAGTGCCCCTCCTGGGCTCTCACACAGCTCACACCAGGCTTAAGCTCCCAGCTTAGCGAGGCAGACACAGGTGTCTGTGCCACATCCCCACTGGCACTTGCTTCTTCCAGCGTTAATTGGAAGGAACACCCGCCCCTGCTCTCTCGGCCAGTAAAAGCAGTGTGGAACTGTCATTTTTGTGTGTGGGTTAACCGAGTGTTTTCCAGGGAGATTTGCTGCATCCCTGCCTCCACAGCTTTCCCAATGGCAGGTATCAACTAGCACCATTAGCACAGATGGCCCAGGAAGGACTTGCATGAGCACCCTCTTACTAGGAATGGGCAAAGCCAGCGGAGGGTACAGGGTTACACTCCCAGGATACAAATATAAAACAGTAAAAAACAATGCCATGATCTTTCTAAAAGGTAAGGGTTTCTTAGCTTATTATGTCAACTCCGTGCAACCACAAATGCCATTTCACTGCAATTACGGTACCATAGTAGTTTTGTTTTTTTGTTTTGTTTTTTTTTTATAAAAAAACCCCAAAGCTTCGTCTTTAAAGCAAGCTTCCAAGTAATCACTTTTGGCACGAGCATTTCCCATGTAAAAACAACATGGTGGTTTTGGTTTCTAAGCTACTTCTACTTACAACTTTACAACCTTAACAAATGGGAACTGGAGACCACTGGTGAAAGAAAGGACAGGTAGTGACTCCCTTAATAATTTTGGCTCAGGCAGATAAATCTGAGTCCAGAACATCTCACAGCTGTTCCAGAAGATGCTGGACAGATCACAAGTCAAACCTTCACCATCTGATTGCTCTCCCATACCAGTCAGACTTCAACTTAAAATTTGAAGGTACTCTTCTAGAGAAAAAGTAAGATCATGTCCCTGGCCCACCCTTTAGAAAAAAATATTTTATTTGATCAGGCTGATAAAAGCCCTGTTTCCAGTCTGGCAATGGGGAAAAGCAAATACAGACATGCAGCAAGAAAGAAAAAAAAACAACCTCCCAAAACTGTATCAAACCCTACAAAGGATGTGGGTGACATCTGCTTACTTTTTCTTGTCCTTGTCTTTCTTGGTTTGTTGAGAACCTGCCTGCTGAGCCTGTGACTGTAATAGCTGAGCTGCCGCCTTCTTCTTCTGGAAGTTGTTCAGCTCTTCCTCAAGTTCCCTCTTTTTGTCTTCCACTTTTTTCTTCTCTTCTTGGTGAGTCCTCTTTAGATGGTCAAACTTTTCGTGGAGCTGCCGGGACAGAGACAGTGAGAATTGGACGGGAAGGGAGACACGTTCCACCCCACTTGCACCCACGGAGGGTGGGAATTTCTGTTGCTGTAGGAACACAACAGGTCTCTGGACACTTCCAAACCCCCACATTCCATCCCCCACTGCTTTATACCTACTGGACTCCATTATGCTTGTGCCAAGCAAGAGAACAGCCACCGTGGGCCATACTTTCCTCTGTACCACACGCTCCTCCGTGAGGCATGAGGAGCAGCTCCCTCCCCTAGCAGGACATGCTCTGGGAAAGCCCCAGCCTAAACCCTCACAGAGTCCCCTGAGTTACAAACACTCACATCTTTCTCCGCTTCCTTCAGCTCTGCTTCCTTCTCCTTCACTCGCATGACAAACATCTGCCTCATTTCATCCTCCTTCTTCTGGAGTTCGCCCAGGAATTCATTCCTCTTTGCTTCATAGGTCTCTTGGAGACTGTTGGAAACACATAAAATCCCGTCAGAGCTGTGCTTCCCGCACAGCCACAGCTCCCAGCCTTTGGTGACCGTACACTTGGCTTGTCCCATCACAGGGTATCATCAGAGGTCCCTGAGTACCCCACAGGGGCACGATGACCTCCACCAAACCCCGACCCAGCTCGCTAGGTGGCAGCAGTGGCAGACAAATGGCAAAGGAACAGCCGAGCTCCCTGCCCAGGATCCTGCACATCCATCACTGAGCAGGCAGGATGACTGTCCTCCAAAAGCAGCAGCCACTACGTAAGCGCCCACACCAACCCCCGGTGCCCACGGGGCTTGTGATCCGCCTGAGTCACACCCCCTCCCTTCTCCCACTGTTTGTGCCGAGTCTCTTCATTCCAAGTGCAGGATTTGTGGAGCAGGCACAGTGTGAAATCTGGCTTCATGTAGTTCTTTAAGCTCGACACTGACACACAGCAAAACTCATTTTCGCTACTCACTGCTAATGGATTGAGATCAGGGGCTTGATTATATAAAGCCACCTCGGGAGACCTCTCTTTCTCCTTTGGCCTTTTTGAACAAGCATCAGCCCCCTCCTCCAAATAACCACATAACTGGAGTCTCTCCTTCCTTCGTTCCCCCTCTGCTCCTTGGCATTTCTTTATCTCCCCAGCACAGGGGCAGGTAGCACAGATTTGTGACACCAAATATGCTGTCTATGCACCTCTGAGATTTTCAGAGCCTGTTAGGAACTCTGGATGCCAAATTCCTCTTTATTTTATTCCTTAAATGGATTTGGATAGCCCAGCCCTAACGATAGTGTGGGAATGATAACTATGTCCCCCAAGAGGCTTTTCTGCAAATGCATTTTCTAAATGAAAACGCCACTGATATCACACAGACACACTGTATCCATGTGTCTAGAGAACACATTAACCACTGGGCCAGGGGAACATCCTAATCCCAATAAAGTCAAGCTTTTGCCTTTCCTGGCAGTGGTGGGCTTTTTGGTGGGGGGTGGGGTGGGATATTGAACTGGGGAACAGAACTTGACAGATTATGCCAAGTGTTTAATTCTGTTAATTAACAGGCACTTTAGTTGCCTCCTAAAATACTCTCCAGACAGGATGCCCAGAGCTGTTCTGGCAGAGCACTAGCCGCCCTGGAGGAATCACACCATTCCAGATGACCACAGCAGCTTCCCACACATGGAAGCAAAAATACTGATTCTAAAAATGACAAAAACCCTTTCATGGGAGAGCAGGGCAAGAGCCATCTTTGGTTCTTCACTAAACCCAGAACCAGATCTCTCACAGCAGAAGGAGATCTGGAGACTTGAATCAAAACCTCCCTAAAATTCGGTCTTGGATTTAACACTCTGTGGACACAAACTTAAATTCCTAAGCCCTTCTGAAGGATCTGGCTAGAGCCTAGGAAAACCCCGAGGGCAGGTGAGCCTCTGCAGCTCAGTGAGCACAAACTGAATCTGCAGTTAGTGACAGGCTGTACTAGGGAGCAGCAGCGCCTTACAACCCAAACCAGAAAGCTCTGCCCGCTGTTCATCCCATCCTGTACTGCAAATGTCCCTCGCAAAGCTCATTCCCAAAAACACAATGCCGTGTGATGGACAAGCAGGAAAAGGTTGCCAGGAGCCAGGGGTGCAGGGGCTTCCTGTGAAATTGTCCCAGGTTCAAAGCTTCATTCTCTGCTGCAGTGACTCGGAGTTCCAGAGGAGCCAAGTTCTCAGAGAAACTGGCCTGGCAACCCCCAGGCCGCACGTGAAAAAAACAATTACAGCCCTAAGGAATAACAGTCCAAACCAACTGGGATCCCTGCAGCTTCTCACAGACAAAGATGACAAGGGAATTAGCTTTTTAAGTACACAAACATATGAGCCTAGATTACAAGAGTAACTCGATTCCCCAGCACACCCCCACACACTGAAGGATGCCCTGGCAAATAATATTCTTTGAGAAAAGATTTGTTTTGAAAAGGTTAACCAGAGCAGCAGAGAAACCAGCCCGCAGCAGAAGGGTCTCTGTGCAGAGGACCCCATTTCATGGAGCAGATGCCTGTGGGGATCCTGGTGCTGCTCCCTCCTCACCTCACGCAGCTGGGCCAAGCAGAGGGTGTTCTGCCAGCAAGTGGGGGGGCTCAACCATCACCAATCCCCCTTTTTCACCCCACACAAGTGCCTACACAGCACCAGTGGTTTGCTGGGGTCTTCTGTCCTGCTCCCCCTGAGACTTTCCACAGGCTCCCTGCTCCTGGCTGATGCAAGTTGGCCGAGGAGCAGCAGCCCCTGTGGCTCCCCGGGCCCCAGTGCAGGGAAAGGCATCCTTTTGATCCCTGAGCTCAGAGAGAACATCTTCCTCATTTCAGATATACATCAGCCTTGGCCAAACAGCTTGGGATCATGGGGTTTGTTTGTTTATTGGAGGGAAAAAGCACCCAGAGGGAACTGCTCTGAACCAGCACGTACCAGATGGAGAAATTCTGTACATTTTCATTTCCTTTCTACTTATAGCTTGGTCAAAAAGAGGCCTCGTGTACAGGAAGCAATGGAAATTCCTCAGATTCCTCACAAGGAAGGGCTGAGCCCATCGTAAGCCCTTGCTCTCCAGAAAGGAAATCCAATAAAGCTTCACACTTGGGCTTAGTAACAGAACTGGGCTTGACTGATTCCAGCAGAGTGTCTGTGCCGCAGAAGAAACGCAGCTGCATCAACTCAGCCTGTCAAATAAAGCCCCAAACAAGTGCCAGTCCCTGACACTCACGTGTGCTATGGGGGTAAAACCCCTCACTGACGCACTCGTATTCTGATTGGGGCACAAAGGAGCGTGGGATGCTGGTAAGGCAGAGGGTGCAATTATTGGGGAAAAGTTGGGGAGGAATGGGAAACAGGAAATGAGAGGAGAAAACAAACACTCCCTCCCGAATTCCCACACAGCTGTTGTCCCTGGTTGATGACTTGGGCTTCAGACCAACAAAGCTGTCTGACAGAATAAACTATGTGTGTACAGTAACCAGCCAAACCTCAAGCATAGACCACGGCTCCCTCTTCACAGCTCACCTTGGGGCAGCTGTGAAAAGCTGTAGGAGGGTCAGAGAGCACCGATCCCAGGATCTCCTGTCCGGTGAGCCATTACTGCACAAGTCACCCTCCCGCGTTTTCCCTGCCACGGCTGCCCTTTCCGTGCCCAGGAAGTGCCCAGCCCTGAGCTGCAGCAGAGCAGGGGGCTGGGAAGCACAGCAGTGCCGTACAGGGCCCTACCTGAAAGGCTTGCTGTCCGGATCCGTGTCCTTGAATCCCATCTCCTCCAGCTTGCAGCGCCGGTACAGCTCGTAGTGCCGGGTGTGCGTCTGCTCTCTCAGGTCCTCCATGTTCACTCGGATCAGCATCTCCCGCAGCTTCACAAAGTCACAGTGGTTTTCATTTTCAACTGCAAAAACAACAGAGCATCCACAGAGATGTTACACCCAGGGGCTGGGTCACCCTTTCCCTGGATCTAGGCCCCAGTTTAGCAAGCCCCAGAGTTCTCCAGGCACACAAGCAGAACTCCAGGTCAGCCTGCACCAAAATGCCTTGCTGGCCTGGGGGTGAAACTACCCCACACCAACAAGGGCACGAGTTCAAGGCCTTCCCCTGGATTTGAAAAGTCTCCTTGCTGCCCATCTGGCACAGAGCTCTCATCCCTCTGTGCATTTTTGCACCAGCAAGGTGATCATCTACTTGCGCACAGGATTTCACTTTCCACTCAAACCCACTCTAAATCCCAGCACTTACAGGGGCCTGAGCAGGCAATGCCTAAACTAAATCTCTTAAACTATCCAGGTCCCAGTTTCCTGGGAACAGCAAGAACCCAACAGGACGTGATGAGTCCAAGACTTCCCAAACACATCAACTTCTTTCCTAACTCTTTTTCCCAGTACTATCCTCTGGTGTATACAGCTGAAGACAGTAAGGCTGAAGCTGCTTCAGGGCCAGCTTGTACTACAGAGAAGTTGGAGAGTTTTGCAGAATTGCCCTGTGAATGCTCCCCTGCAGCTCCCCGGGCCATTATCCAATGGGATACACGGCTGAAACCACAAGCAAGACTGTCACCATCTCAATCCTGTACTTCTCAGTGCCGGTTGGGAAGTGAGGATCAGCCCTATATCTTTGGCAGCTTCAGTACAGCCTGGGCTGCAAACAGTGCCATGGCCAAACTCTGCTCTCCTGCAGGAAAGAGCTTTTGGCTCCACGTCCAGCCTTGGGCCGTGCTTTCCCAAGCCAGGTTTTGACAAGGCCCATCCAGAGATCAATGTGCCTTTGATCAGAACGGGACAGGATGACAAGGCCTTTTCCGTGCCTTTGGTAACGTACCTTGCACGACACCCCAGGGGTACTGCCTGGCTTTCGCCATCTTGTTGCCAATCTTCACTTCTTCAGTGCTGCCAACAACAGCAAAAGGAAGGTGGACCTACGAAAGGAAAGGGACAGTGAGGTTGGGGATTTCCTTTGCTGCCTTGCCAGGGATTGTTTCTCAAGAAAGCTGTTTACTGGGGCAGCTCTGCTAGATGTAAGTTGCTTAAACGCCTTTGCAATTCATCTGGTGTTTTAGGGAGAGCAACAGGACAATCTGGATGAGAAACCTGATCAGACTTAAAGCGCAAAATTCTGATGTCCTAAGAATACAAGAGATGTACATATTTTCCATATAATTACAGAGCATGACTATCCTAAGCCCAGAACAAGTCTCACAAACTAGAAGTGAATTTGAACACTGAGCAGACAGAACTGTGAAACAATAAAAAAATAAAGTATATTCTCCCAAGGAAAATTTCAGGGGGATTCTGTTGCTACGACAAGCTGCTAATGCTTCCTCTTGAAAAGGGCAAAGCTGTGAGCAAGAGGAAGAGGGGAGTCAACCCAGCCCTGGGCTGACACGCCTGAGTCACGGAGCTCTGCTCTGTCCCAGTCTCCCTGTGGGTGTGGTGGTGACAATCTGGGATCTACTCCCAGAAATGTGGCTGCTGCCAGCAGGGAACTGGCCAGCCCAGCCCCATGGAGCTGTCCCTGCCCTAACAGCATCCAACAGGGCTGGGCACAAGCTCTGGGAGCTGTGTCAGCCAAGCTATGGTCACAGGCTGGGTGGGTGGGGAAGAGGAAGGGCAGAGGAGATGGGATTAACTGGCAAAGGAGTTTCCCAACAGCCAGGCTGCACCGCAGGAAGGCAAAAGCACTGCACACAATGCACTCTAGCAGAGCCATGTCCCTTCTCTGTTCCAGCATCTCCCTGCTCAGAACACAACACAGACAGGGAAGACTGGCAATAGGCACGTTTGGAGAAGGTCTAATATCCAGTTGGATGCGATAATTGTGCACCTACAAGCAGCTGTGCAAGGAAACTCAGAACAGCCTCCAAGTAGCAAGGAAATGGCTTAATCTGAGTGCACTTGCCATAGGGGTGGCACGTGCTCTTGGGTGTTATGTGTCCCTCTAAAACCACCTAAAATGCCCAGAAAACACTGCACGTCACTGCCAGCAACGTCAAGCTCAGGTTCTTCCCCTTGCGCCCCAAGTTAAGACCACAGAAAGCAGTGGTTTCCCCCCGTAAATGTGACTAAAATGTTTGGTCTCTCCTAGCCCCGTGTGCCTTCAAATTCCACCCTCTGCTAGAGGAAAGGGAAGGAGGTGAAAGCCAAGCTGCTGACGGCCACCAGCCCTGTGGAGAGCTGCAACATCACTGGGGGTGCCCTGCTCTCTCCGGAAACTGAAACAAAGGCAGCAGTGAATCACCCCCCACTGAGCAATAAGTGGTCGTTTGGGACAGGAAACCCAAACCTCAGCTCCCTGCCCTGACCGTGTTGGGGCCCTGCCTCCCATCCTTTTCCTTTCCCAAGGAGGGAACACTGCAGCTGGGGAAGGGTACGAAAACACGCTCAGAGGAGAATCGTTTGTCAGACAACGAAGCGCATCAGGCCAGGAATCTCCAGCCCCAAAGCCCCTCTGGCCAGGCTGGTGTCTGTGCTTACACTGCAGTTTTAAAGCCACATAAACTATGGTACAACCATCGAGGACGGGCCCCTGCAAACCAAGGAACCCCCAGGTGACATACACTCATGGTGGCGTTGATCTCGGCCACCGTCTCCTCGTCCGTCGGGAACTGGTAGATCTGGACGCCGTTGCTGACCAGCTCGCTCATGATTTTACTCTTGAACTTGTGCAGCTCGTTTTTTGCAATGGTGTCAGCCTTGGCAATGATGGGGATGATGTTCACCTGCAGGACAGAGACAGCACCTCCACATACAGCACCGCACAGGTTGGGTCATCAGGAGAGGACGGAGTGGGACAAGCAGGGACAGCCCTATCAGTGCCACCAGCCAGCACCCCAAGCAGATGATCTTGCCAGGGGCTGCTGCTGCCAGCATCACCTCAGACAGGATTTCCAGGCAGCAGTGATGATGGCTTTAAAAAGAAGTCAAATGCAATTTGGCAACATGCTATTTCCTGCCCTGTCGTACTCCCCTCCTCATCCCAATTGGCTGGACAGGAAATGCTGTCACAGATTATAACAAACTGTTCCAAAAAAGAAAAAAAGAGGAAATGACCATCTAGGCACATCTCCTCCCACCGCAGCAGGCTGGATTACTGCAGGAGCCTCCCTGGGACAAGAGCTGTCACAGGTGTTTGCTGGGGGGCTGCCAACAGGGACACTCAGGCGGGCAGCACTGCTGCTGTCACCCCATGGGAGGTGGAAGCAGATGGTCCCTATCCAACCCTGTGACACACAGGACAGGGGCTGGCAGCAGCACAGCCACACTTCCCCCACCTGTGTGCCCTCACATGCCCCCAGACACCCTGTACTGCAGGAGAAGGGCTCATTCCTCCCCACACAGCTCTGAGATGAAAGATCACTTCCCTCTCTTTCCCAGACAGGCTGTTGGCAAGGATAAGGACCCTGCCTTTTTTCCTTTTTCCTCCCTCCAGAGGGACAGTTTCTGCTTTTGATCAAGCAGGATTTGTTTCTCCCCGCAACAGCAGACAGAAATCATAGCGAGGATAACAGTGGTATCGACCTATATGAAGGGATTTTAAGTACAGCACTTGAAAATCCTCTTCTATTACATCACTTGATTCTGTCTGGAGGAAGGTCTAGAGATTTTAAATCTCCCTGGGCCAAAAGATAGAACACAAATGCCAATTAGTTCACTTGGGTAAATCTCCATAACCCTATTTTCAGCTGAATAGGGAAGGGAACCTTCTCCATCACCACATAAAACCTGATCGATAGGCCCCTCTAGGAAATAAAGAGCCACTGCCACCATTGATCTCCTGCACAGTCAGGATCCAACGGGCCAAAAGGTGCACGGTGGACAGATTCAAATTGCTTAATCATGATGAAAGGAAGCACAGAGAAAGTTTACTTTAACTACTCAGGCTTTACATTTGTACCGTGGTTACTTTTCTCAGAAAAGAGGTGAAACCTTTAAACCCTCGTTTAGACCAAGCCTGTTAGGGTAACAGAAAAGCAGATGCCAAGTTACATATTTATTCAGATCCCTGCTTATGAGATTACAGTTAGAACACCACTAACATGTAACACAGAAGATCAAATCACTGTTTGTGTCCAGCTGGATGTGGTCAGAGCAAACAGACACAGCACTTCCATTTGGTTTTCACTGATTAGTAAGACGACCTGAATTGTCTTTATTGACTTTATAGCTTAGCTGGGGAGTACAGGGCCAAGTTCCCTACCCGAGGCCGGGCCGGGAGAGGGGAGGAGTCCAAACTCTTAATAAATCTCTGAGCGTGTGCGAAGCAGAACAATGACCCACTGTAGCAGCTTGCACAAGGTACTCTTTTCACACAGCCCCCCTGCAATTCTCCAGTACTGAAAACACACATTATTTCCTGGTGACAAGATAATAAAAGCACTGGTAGGGCCATGTGAGGGGTGTAACACAGGCAGCAAGTACCTTACTGTCGAGCTTCTTCATGGTGACCAGGTCCAGGGACTTGAGCGAGTGGCCGGTGGGCGCAATGAAGTAGAGGCAGGCGTGGATCCGGGTGTCGTGATAGTTGAACAGGGACCGTTTGATCTTCAGCTCCTCTTGCAAGTAGGCTTCAAACTGGGCATCAATGTATTCTACTATGGGCTTGTAGCTGGAAAGAGGTGAGGCACAGAGAAAACTGGGAATTGGCTACTGGGACAACACTGGGCACTGGCAGACATTCATGCAGCCTCGTGGGTGCTCTGGGCCTTACAGGATAAGCCCTGCTTGTTAAGACCCTCCCCACCAATCTAGAGTCCCTCCCAACAAGCTGTGTTTCCACTTGTGCACAGACAAAGCATAATGGACACGACAGCAAGATAACACGGTCGAGACACTGGATTTTAGGCACATGGAAGCCACACAAGCTACCCTGAAAAACAAAGTGTTTGTACATCTCTAATTGAAGTCTGAGCTGCTGCTCTGCCAATCTCACTGAAAATTTTGAAAGAGGGAAGGGAGACTGACTAGAGGATAAAAAGGGCTTTTCAGGAGCACAGCTCAGAAGACAAATGGGCTCGTGGACTCTGGGGGGACCACTTTGCTGAAGAAAAACAAGCTTGTGTGTTGTAACATACCCTCTGGAAAGGACCAGCTTGGCATGAAAAAAAAGCGTACAGCTTCACACCCCATGTTACAGGTGATTTTCACTTCCTCCTGAAAAAGGGAGCCATGTTTCTGGAAAAAAGTAACTTCTCCATTTGTTCCCCCTCCACCAAGGGCAGCCTCGTGGATACCACTACATGGGTTTGTAACATGAATGCTGCACTGGTTTCTTGGCTTCCAGAAATGTTGTCTCTGACCATGAAAGCCCAAAAACCTCAGACAGAGACATGTTGCAAAGAAACACTTACACTGAGAGAAATATTAGAGAAAGCAACACAAAACAAGCAGAGCAGAAAAGGACTGGGAAGACAAACAAAAAGCACAGAGCAGCATCACTTCCTGGATCAGGAAACACCCCCAGGAACAGCGAGGGACCTACTGACGCCCCAGTCACGCCCTCCTGACCTGCGAGCACACCCCTCCTCCTGCCAGAGCCCAGCTTACCTGTCGTCCTTGTTAATCTGATCTCCAAAGCCCACGGTGTCCACAATGGTCAGCTTCAGGCGCACGTTGCTCTCCTGCAGCTCGTAACTCCTGGCTTTCAACCTCACGCCGGGCTCGTTGTGTGTCGCTGGTTCGCTCTCAAACTTGGTGTTGAACAGAGTGTCCATCAGCGTGGACTTGCCGATGCCAGTTTCACCTGAGCAGACAAAGGCAACTTGCTACGGCCTGGCTGCTTTTCCTCCTCTTCTCGGGCACATTCGCCAGGTTAAGGAGTTATTCCACTTGGGTAGCAGTGGAATTAGGCTACATGCACATGGCTAAGCAAGATAATCCCTGCAGGAACAGATGTCTTTTGAGACAGTCCCCATCTCTACCAATCCCCCGGGACTGAATCAGGAACTTTCCTCACAGATGCAAGTTGTAAATTCTCTTAACTCCGTGTTTGATTCCCAAGGAGATACATGATTTTATTTTGGGTTGGCTTTTTTAAAACGGTTTTGTTTCTGTTTCAAGAAGGTCACCCAAAACCCACAGCACAAGTGAGGCAATAAAAATTTGAGACAGAGAAATACATAAGGAGTTTTTTTTTTAAAAAAAAAGGAAAATAGCACACTGATCGAATACCAACTTTTTAAACTACTACAGGTTCACTAATCCCCAGTGCAATTAGTAACATGGATGAAGGCATTAGCCCAAATCCCATTTCTAAGTCAGAAGTGTTTGTTTAGCAATTACACTCTCACACAGCTCCTGCTACCCATGCTGAGAGCAGGGGTGGGCTGAGGCAGCTCACATGAAAAGCCATGTCCTGAACTGATGGCCCAGTCCGTTCATCTCTGGAGCTGCAGGTTTTAGGGAGCTCCTCACGTGAACTGCTGCGTGCTATGCTAGATGGCCTTTGCAGCCTTTCACATACCAATTAAAAGTCTCACATTACAATGCCAAAGTTCATCACGTCCTTTCTCAAACCACCATTATAAAAAATAATTTGCTTCCAAAGTAAGATTTCTGCTCCATGGACAACTACAGCAGTTCGTGTGAAATTTTAATATGCGGTGAAAATTGGTGGATCGACACATTTTACAGGAAAAAAAGAAGAGGTGGATCAGATTGCTAATGGAGACATATTAAGTCGTGCTAAGAAAGGAATATTTACTGCAAGAGAGAAAGGCAATTAATTGATGCCATTTTGATCAAAGAGCTGCCTGCTAAGCAGGCTGTTCCCTGCTGAACTGCAATGGTTTCATGCTGCTCCAGGAGTCACGTGAGGGCTGGGAGCTCGAGTGTGCACAAGTGCAACTGCTCTCCTATCTCCTCCTCTGACATGCAAAGCTACAGAGAGGAGCCCAGTCTGTGTGCCAGACTTCTATTCACACAGCTCACAGAAACTCTCAATTCACTGTGCAAAATTCACAGTCAGAGGGCTGCAGGGTTTTTCCAGCTAATTAATGTAACTAATTAGAAGGGACAATACTCCCTTCTTGCAGGCTTAACTGAACAATGAATGGAGAGACGATGTTCCTAGCCTGCTCTGCCAAGCTAAAAGTGAAACCCAGCATTTGTGCCACTTTGCAGAACCACATTCTGGGTCCACTGACAAGTTCCAGCTGGTTTAGTTCCCGGCCCTATGGGCTGAGCAACGGATTTCCAACTGCACAGTATCCACAGAGTACCAAGACAGCACCTATCTGCCTATGGCAAAGAGCAGACATTGCCTTCCTGTATCTCACCCTCTGAACAATGCAGGAAAAGTAACTCAGGCTATAAAACCAACCTGCAGCACCCAGGGTAAATACAGCAGAGGACAGGTGACAGGCTTTGTTCTCCGGTACATCACTTGGAGACTAAAAATGGCATTGATTCCAATTGGAGAAACTGAGAATGTAACTATACAGGCAAAGCCTGGAAGGGAAGGAATGTCATTTGGTGAGAAACAGCCTCTGCACCCAATCCAGAGACAGGCAGACTAAAGTTCACTTTCTTTTTAAAATACATTTAGCTCCCACGTTAGATCAGTTTCCTTATGGGCAGCCTTTGGGGAAAACAGAACCACAGGATGATCAAAGGCATAAATTTTAACAGCTGAAAATGTCCACATTTTGACTCAGGGGACAAGGTAGAGAAAAGGAAAAGAGGGATGCTAGATTCTACCCTGGAGCAGCTCAGGGAAGAAAACTGTCACTTCCCTGCCACTCTGGTCCCCGGTGGCTCAGCTCATCCCTGTGCAGAGCGAGGAGGTGTGAGTCTGTGGAGGGGTGCAGCCCTGACTGCCCAGAGGGGCAGAGTGACCTACCCACGCAGAGGATGTTGAAGCAGAAGCCCTGGGACGTTGACTTGTTGACCAGCTGATCAGGGAGGCTGTCGAAGCCCACGTGGCCAGACAGGGACAGGTTCCTGAGGTCATCGTTCTGTAAGACCAAGAGGGAAAGCATTTAACAGGGTTGCAAACTCCCTGTCAGGGAAGAAGTTCCGTCGGAACTGTGTTAATGACAGAGTTTTGGGACACAGGACCTTTCTCTTAGGTTTCCCTCCCCAAAGTACTCTCCTCTTACTTCTACCCAGCTCTGGCGTGGGGCTGAGGAGCTCAGATGTCCCTGATCTGAAGGCATGCAACCACCACCAGAGTGTTTCTCTGTGCCTGTCACTAATGAACCACGATTCTGTACCAATCTGCAACACCCAAACATTTTTTCTGAGGCCTCGGCATCCGTTTGGCAGGGCCACAGCAGGACATGGCTCAGATAACAATAGTGCCTCCTTAACTTAGAAAATACTAACCTCCTTCCAAACCCAAACACTTCCAGCACAGTCACTCCACCAAAGCCATACTAAATTACAGTCGTGGGCAGCCTCAGCCTGGTTAAAAGATGCTGGAAGCACCAGCTTTTTTTCCACAAAATCAGTGGGCTTTGGAGCAGACATGGTTGATATCTTTGGTTGATAAAATAAGAATCAAAAGCAGAGAAGGACTTCCCACTCTCTGCACAATTGCTGAGCAGCTCCACTTTCCCCCTCAGAACACATGGACCAGCCACCAATAGCAGGAAAAAATGAGTTACATCTGGGTTGAGTGTTAATGAAAATACACTGAGACTCAGAGAAATACAAAATTTCTCTAGGAAAGGCAACATCAAGTGAAAATGTCTCTTTCTGTGCCATCACCATATGTCACAAAGGGTTCTTTTCTGCCATGCGACAGACAGGGCCCGACACCTGTGTTAGATACCTGAGCCTTCTGCTAACATCTAAACCAGGTTTGTCTGAAGCCTTAACCCAAATCCACCAGCCTGTTCACCTCCATCCCTCTGTGGACTGAGAGCTATTCCATCAGCACCACATCACAAAAGCTTAGGGTGATTGAGAGACGCCACGTCTTTCACTCAGGCTGAGTAAAGACAAACAACACAGAAGAGACCATTTACCCACGACAGTGATTCTCCTGCCAAAGCCGCAGGCAACGGAAGGAGATGCTGGGATTATTTGTTATGTGAAGGGGTTAAATTAAATATTTGTAACGGTAGTATTTTTAAAACACCAGTGGGCTTGGGTTTCTGGTGAAGTGAAGGGAGCTCAGAGCTGATCCCAGAAAGCAGTCAGAGCCCATGACTCACAGATTTCACAGAAAGTGGTGGGTGTTGAACATCTTTCAGCACCAGTCTCTCTTTCCCTGATATATTTTGGGCAAGCAAGTACTGCCTCATCACCAGTTACTCAGCAGGAACAGGAGTTAGACTCATCTCCTGCATCTGTGTCAGTTATTTTTTGCTGCAGACCTTCTCGGGTTTATTTCCCTCCCCTGCTTTTTTCCCTGCAAGCGGCAAACATCAACAGTGGAATAAACAAGAACTATCCCTGCACTTTGCAATGCCAAGTATTTTTCACAAGCTGAGCTCACAACAGGAGGCAGAAGTGCAGTCTGATATCTGCCCAAACACCAGAAAGCTCATGAAAAGCTCTGAGGCCTGAGGCACAGCCAGAGATGAAACACAAAGCCTCCACCTCCCTCAGCGTTCCCAGGATGCAGCACATCTCCCTGAGTGGAGCAGACACAGAAAACAGGTGCAATTCTGCACAAGTATCACAGGCAGGAGAGCCAAAGGAACTAGGATTCTTAATCTTTCTCCGTGCACACAAAGGCATCGTGCAACCTAACAGCCAGTTCTGCAGCACAGAGGTGGGCTGGCAAAGTGCACACAATTTTTGGGGAGCCAAGGGCTGCATAACCTCTTACCATTGCAGCCAGGCCTCCAATCCTGCTTTTACACTCTTCAAGGGGATGGCTTTATCCACACGGAAAGGAAGCCTCTGCTGGAGAGCAACCAGCCTGATTGCTCAGAGTATCTTCAGCAGAACAGGCAAGTGATTCACGCATTCGGTCTGGCAGGACAGAAGTGTTTGTACAACAAGGGGATGCTAAGTCAGATGGCCTCACTGCTCTGGCTGTGAATCGCCCTGACAAGCTCCTGAGTACAGTCAGTGGCTGGGTTTGATCCCGACTGAGTCATCCCACTGAGAACGGGGCAACTCCAGTTGAAGAGGAGGTGCAGGTTCCTGCCCCAGAGACAACCCCAGAGCCCCTTTGTGCACCAACAACCACGGGAATGCTACAAGCATTGATTTATTCCTCTTGCCACACGGTTCTCCTTCCAGAGGAAGTCAGCAGTACTGCTCAGGCACTTCACACCAAGTGGAAAGGCATATCATCACCCTGCCTCGCTGCCTTCTTCCCAAGTGCATTTTCCCCTCAGTGGATGAACATAGCTCAGCACAACTCCTCTTACCCCAACACTGCACCTAAAACACATTCCTGGACTAAAACACCCCCTCAGCTGTCACTCACAGAAACTCAGTCCTAGGAGACGCCTTAGGAACCACAGACAAGTGGCTGTGTCTGGAAGCACTGACCTCTTCCAGGCACACTAAAAGAGGAACTGTTTGCCAAGCACCTCTCCTTGCTCCCAGCTTCAGGAGCCACAGACAAGATCAGCGTGGGTAAAACTGCAGCTCCACAGACTCCTGGAGGGATCAGACAGTTTGCACCAGACACGCTGCTAGATTTGGGTGTCTGCATGTTCTCAGGTGTCAGAGAGCTTAAGACATCCCCAAAACAGTCTTTATTTTTAAACTCTTCCTTAAGACAGCCATATCCCCTTTACTGAGCACCACATTATAGGGCATATATTCCCTCCCTCTTCCCACACCATCCAGGAGCAGGAAGCAATTCTGAACGTCCAGAGCTGTGTGCTAACCCCTACAGAAACAGCAGAGCTACATGAACAAATAAATGCTTGTTTCTTGAGAAAGATGCTGATCACTTGACTTCTCCTTCCAGAGAGCCCTCCAAGGCATCCCACAGTCGATATTTCTTGGGTCAACAACAATCTCTGAGCTGCTGTTATCACAGCTGCTGGTTTTAACTCCAGCAGGGGAAGGGAGGGGGTAAGTCAGGCAGAGACAGGCCCCCAGAGGCACAGCATCTACCTACCTACCATCCCTATAAAGAGATTTATCTTCAAGAACCCATGCCCTAGTGCTGTTCATTTTAAGGAGGGGGGGTTGGGGGGAATGCCCTGCAAGAGATAAAAAAGGGTTTGCAATCTCAGAACCTGCATCTGTTGTTCTTCATATACAGCTCCTAGTGGCAAAAGTTCTGTAGGTGAAGCAACGCTGCAGCGGATGCTCTGAGGCAAACAGTGGGTCTGCCTGGATGGGAGTCACTGAAGCCATCCAAAACAATCCAGCTGATGAGGCACGTGCAAGGAGAGAGTCAGCCCGTTCCTCCTAAGCCACAGCAGCTTGGCAGAACCAGCAGGGATAAAGGGGAAGTTATTCTCCTGGTTTGAGTCAGGAACAGTGCACAATCTGTGTGTGGATGGGGAGATAAAGGTGGGCCCCATGATGGGAAATGCATCCCTCCTCCAGAGGCAGCACGAAGGAGAACAGTGTCCCTATAAGCCACAGGGTGTGTGGTAGTTGGTCGGAGATAAAGCAAAAATTGCTCTTCTCCTGGGTAGGAAAAAAGCCCCACTCCCAAAAGGTTGAGGAGGGCAGATTCCCAAGGACACGTGCAGTTATTGCCACGGTCTCTGGTCCGCTCTCCTCACTCAGGACATAGCCACGGTGAGGACTGTTCCCCCAGCCCCAGCAAGCTCCCGGCTCAGCCCCTTTTGTCTTAAGGCTGCTGGCAAACCCTTCCCTCGGCCCCTCCTGGCCCAGAGCTGCCGCCAGCTGGGGGTCACTTTCACACGGCCTCCCAAGAGTTAAAGAAAACAAAAACGAGCCTCGAATTCGAGAGGGGGGGGAAACGCTGGTATGCAAAATATTGAGCTCAACCACAAATATGAAGCAAGTGTTTAGTTATTTGAGGCCACACGACTCGGGAGGCACCTTTAAGAAACTCTAAAAGCTTTTATTGTTGTCAGCAGCTCAGGGCAGCAACATTTTTGACCCGTTACTAGGCACACGTTCCTGTGTTTCTGAAGTCATCTCAGATGCTATATCCAAAGCCAGGGACCTCTGGGATAGTTTTGTCTGCCCAAAAATGCAGCTCAGGGAAGAGCAGAGAGCACAGAAGCTAAGAGCAGTCAGCAAGAGACAGATCTATCGTACCCTCTCCATGCCAGCAGGGCACCAAGTATCCCCAGTGTCCGTGCCAGAGCTAAGCTCTCTGTTCCTTGAAATAGCACCCACAACCCCTCTCCCCTTCCTTACAGAGGCTTAAGGGATGGTCAGACCCATAACTGTTGGACAAGGGAACTTATGAATAATAGTATGGGGAGAACACAAAGAGCAGGAACAACTCCCTTGCCCTCCCTGCCATGGAGTGATGTCACAAGGAAAGGGCCCGTAGCAATCAATCAGTTCATCAGCTCATCGGAGGAAGGACTTCTTGGCTGTTGTTTTAGGCTATGATAACCATCAGTGTCATCAGCAAAAGAGGGGGAGTTCCTGTCCCCATGCTGCTGGGCTGGCTGCAGGATTGGGCAGATGTCTCCACAAGCTACTGGGAAGTCTGGGAATTCCTTAGTTGGTCCCCCCACACACACATTTTTCCCTTCTCTCTCAACAGGGAGAGGACACCCTGTGGAAAGCACGTTCTCATTCTGTACATCAATGTGTCAATCAAGACATGAAGATCCATGCCTCCCGCCCTGCCACCAACCCAGCAGTGACTCACTGCTGCAGCTATTGTCCCCAAGGGATGGACTGCAGGAGCCCATCTTGCTCTTCCTGGACAAAAGCTGGCACCAGCTGCAGCTGCTCAGGGACACACAGCTTCTCACTAGGCCCTCGTCCCAGCCCTCCAGCAACGTCTGGAACAAGCTCAAGGAGCCAGCTCTCCCTATTCCCAGTAACAGGGAATGCTGTCAGCAGTGCTATGCCACAGTTGGCTCTCTCGCTCAGTGAG